CACTGCATCAGCAGACTATGAGAGAGCGGGCTTGGTGACATTCGGATCCAGACTCGACATTGGGTTTCAGACATTTTGACGAGGGATTATTTGGGGCTTGTAACAAAGACTTGGTGTTGACGACATTCCCATCTCTCCCCTTCTTCTTCTTCTGTTCCCCTCCTCTTCGTCTGTGCATGATATGGACCTGGCGCATTCTTCCTGTGTGTAGCACCAGGCCCCTTCACACCTTGTGATGAGGATGATGTATGTTTGGTCTGCGTTGCAACATTGATTGGGCTAGTCATTGGTATTCTAGCATTCTGCTGCGCTGTCTTGCACTACGTGATAGAGGTCAGTACCGGTCAGGTCAGGACTTGTATCTAAGTCTTCCCCTGTGCTATAAAGCACCATTTTTGTATGTATCGGAATGTACACTGCTTGTTGAGATTTCACTTGCACTGCATTGTCCATTCAGTCCTTTTTGTCACATTGCGGATCCTCAGTTATGTATGTACATTGCCCAATCGTGCATGTAACACTACATCTCCCTTTCCCAAAATCCTTGGCACACCCCCTTTCTTGCACTTTTTGGGCCTACATCTACTCTGATCAGAAAGTCATCTCGGGCGTGAGGTTGCCGTCACAGTGCGCTCAATTATTCAGGGCTTTTTTTCGGGCCAGACATAGAAACCATTACACCATTTGTTCTGGGGGAGAAGGTAAAACATTGACGTGCTAGATTGATGGAGGAGGTCCTGCCAACTTGAAAGAGGGAAGAACTAGCCCAGACCACTTGCCATAGGCACCAGTTTAGACAAATGAAGCTAGACATATCTCAGAATAGGAGAGTCGCCCTTCATGGGTGCTTAGCTAAACTTTGAGGGAGAAAGGTAGCAGCTATAGCTCACAATGGGAAGGCTGGCAGTCCTGAACAATGGCGGATAGCCAAAGAAGTCAAGAGGTAAGAAGAGCCAAGGAAACAGTCATCCTCCTTGGTACCTCAACATTTCCTTGGCACTGTGTATGGCACACCCCCCCAGGAAGGCTTGTGCTAACTGCCTGAGTACCAGTCAGTATCATGGCTCATTACTGGTCGGTGCCATGCTTGGTTACCAGTTGATATCATGGTTGGTACCATGTGCAGTTACAACACTTGCTAACCATGCTTCTTAGTATGGTTGGTCACCCTGCTTGGTTACTATTACAACACTTGCTAACCATGCTTGTTAGTATGGTTGGTCACCCTGCTTGGTTACTATGTTTGATACCACTCTCAGTTACAATTATTGGTTACCACAGTGGTTACTGTAGTTAGTTACCATCTTTGGTTGCCATTCTGTGTTATCATGTTTGGTTTTCACACTTGGTTTACCATGTTGTGTTACCCTGCCCCGTTAGTATCCTGGGCACTTGAGTTCCGTTACCATGCTCGGTCCCTATGCTTGTTTACCAGAATGGTTACTATACTTTGTTACTGCGCTTGGCTACCTGGTTGATTACCATGCTTTCCCATCATTTATAGTTGCTACCATGCTTTGTTACCATCCTTTGCTACCATGCTCAATTACCATCCTTGGGTACCCAGCTCAGTTACCATGCTCTGCTGCTATGCTTAGTTACCGGAACGGTGACTGTACTTGGTTACCCTACTTCGTCACCTGGCTTAGTTACCATGTTTGGCTACTTATCCTTTACTATGCTTGGCTGTTATTCTTAGTTATCAGAACGATGACTATGCTTGGTTACCATGTTTCATTACCGAGTTAGGTTACCATACAACGGTGCTTGGTTACATGTTTGGTTACTATGCTGGGTTATCGAACCCGGTACCATGGTTGGTCACTATCATGCTTTGTTACCATGACTTGCTATCATGCTTGATTGCCATGTTTGGTTACCGAGCTCGTTTACCATCCTTTGTTGCTATGCTTGGTAATTGACAATGATGACTATGGTTGATTGCCCTGCTTGGTCATCATGCTTGGTTTATAAACAGCGCCTTGCAGCACCTGGACCTGATATTTAACCACAATCAATAGCAAGTTTGTATGTTACAAACTGATGGGGTCAGGTGAGTTTGGGGAGCTACGAGTTACTGCGCGCCCTATGCTTGGTTACTATACTTTGTCACCAGTTCGGTCACCAGCGTAACACACCATGGTATGTAATTCCAGATGGCTCCAGACTGCAGAACATCCATAACAGCTTTTGGATCATTGGCAAGTCGATAAAGAACACGTTAACAATCTGCGTTGCCATTGTTAATGGGATCACATTTACTGGCTTTGAAACCCATTTGGCTTTGTTTTGCTGTGCTTTCTTGTATACAGCACCTTTCACGGGGGTTTTCTCCCATGTCACACAGTAAGTCTCCAAAGAGGATCCTCCATTGCCACTCAGGGGTATCAAAATTGCTTCCAATTATGGCAATCCTTGTTCCAACTGGCCCCGCGGACGGAAGTACGTAGTCAATGGTGGGTGTCACATGCTTCGTGAACCGGAAGCAGCAAAATCTTGCCGATAGACGTGGATCATTATCCACCATCACCGAAACCCTTAAGTTTACCTCAGTCTCCAGGGCCTCCTTTGTCTTACAAACAATCTGCCCAATATTGCAAGAAGAACATGAAACACACACAGAGACACACACACACAGACACACAGACACGTACACACATCAGGGACAGAATGTTATCTGCACAGGTTGAAGAATAGAGAAAGAAAACCCAAAAGTGCACAGAATTCACAACTACAAGTGGGGCCCGCTTCACCTCCAACTGCATCGAAGATGGAGCAAGTGCACAGTGGTAGATGCCGACAGAGCTAATCCATAGTCATTATTTGTTGTTCTACGCAACAGAGCTAATCCGTAATCATTACTGGTTGTCCTACGCAACACATACA